CATTTTTAATTTACTTAAATGCCAATTTACCAGACTTGTTGTAGAATACACTATTTTATTTCAAACTCATAATACTTAATAGGTAATGATTATTATATATTAGAAATAAAGTGTAATCCAATACTTAAGTTATTGTCAAATTTTGTAGATAAATCTAGCCAATTAGAACATTCGAATGAAGGAAAACTTTTTACATCATCAAATAATTATAAATAATATTTTCGCTGGGAACCTGGAAAAACGACGGTTTCGATATAATTGTTTAAAAGGGAACTGGAATATAGTGATCTATATTTCTTAATTAGTTAAGTATTTAAGGATATTATTGTTATTACTTTGTAAAGGAGTATCGAATAGAATGCGATCATCGGTGCTTATGTGTTCGGTAAATTGCATGTTACAACAGAAGACGATTACGGTGTTGGAGACGAGAATCTAAATTCAGCCAAAAACACTTACATGATTTCGCCCACCTTTGCGTTATTTTTCTATAAATTGAATCACCCAATGTTAGGTCTGATTTTTTGTTAAGGTTAAATAGTAGAAAATTTCGGAAGGATTCTTACCCATAGATCCAAATAACAAAAGCATCATCAACGTGGGGTCTCCATAGTTTTGGTTTTAGATGGAAAATTCGCTTTCTTCTTCACAAAAGCTTTGCGAATGAAGAACCCATAGATGTTTTTAACTGTTCAGTGGAATGAAAGAGTGTGAGTGTGTGAGTGTGAAACTATCGGTTTCCCCTGTAAACAGTTTTAATATAGAATCTAGATATTTTGCTAGATATAGGTTGAAGAACCAATGGTGCTAACAATAAGTCGAAGTGAATCGTGGGAAGTCTGTAAAAACGAGGAGTTGTACAGTGGTGATGAGTGACAGATTTGTTCACGAATTCTGATACAGAAGAAACTTTACCAGCAGATTTAAATTTGCGTTCTATAGATCACGTAGGATCTTTGACAATACCAATAAGTTTGTAAGAATATAACAAATATAACAATATAAGATAACAAGTCGGGAATAGTATATTATGCAACAAGTGTGGTAAACGGCATTTGAATCACGAGTTTATTTGGCTCCAGCAGAGCGCAGCGGAGAGAATGCTTAATAAAAATAAAAAAATAAATAAAAAGTTTACTAAACATATTGCAAGCTATACTTTTTCTACATTTTTGCAAAAAAACACGAATACATGACATGACCGTCAGAAATGACAAACGTCAAAATTCAAGCCGTGCGGTGAAAATCTCCGAAAACATCGGATTGCTCCCAAACCCGTGCGGTAATATCCTGGAGCGCAGCAGAGCAAATATTTAATAAACTCGTGACTCAAATGCCCTTTACCACACTTGTTGCATATTATACTATTACCGAATTGTTAGGAGTTGTTCCTAACTCGACTGGACTAAGGTAGCGGCAAATTTAGTCCGATACTACGCATACACCAGTTTTCTTCCTAACACTGCGCCCGGTTCATTCAAACCGCCATTCTCTTTAGCGACAAACTGCGGGTGAATATAGATCGTCGTGTGACCTTTCACATCGTCCCAGTCCTACAGTGAGTTAAAAAAGTTCCGTTATTAGTAACAAAAACATGGAAGCTTGCGGTTCGACTTTTCCGTTTCTTCTGACATTACTTTTGACCGTTTCTTTCGCGACCGGTCAGGATCATCATTCTCCTCCTCCCGAACCGGCGAACGTAACAAGCGAAAGCGAAGATACTACTGGGATGATACCTACGAGAGTGACGGAAATCAACAGCCTCCCGGAAGCTACCGCCAAGCCCCCGTTGGTACATGCCTCGACGGAGACGTCGAAGAAGCCTGAAGTGCCTCCGAATCCTTCTTTACAGAAAGGCCACAAGGCGGGAGGAAACGGGGGAGTGAGATTTTCCGCCAGATATTCGATCTACGCGTGTTTAGCTACGACGTTCGTAAGTGTTTTCATGTAATTTGAAGACGAGGGGATTTTAATTTGTCATTTAACGAAATATTCTCCCAACGCCCGATCGTTTTCAAAAGACGACCAATTTTCAGCAGGAATTGATTTTTTATTCTAGAGAAAGTTTTGATAAAACGTATACATTATTACTATCCAGCTTCTGCCACTCTACAACGTGTACTCATAAATGTTTTTCGTTCGTGTAGGACGATTATTATTAAATTGACATTTTAAAGTGATATAGGTGCCAATTTCCAGTTTCAATATGCCCCGTTGTTCACTTTTATTTTTAAAAACGCATTACGTACTTAGCGAAAATTTTATTTACCGCAGGTGCCGATTAATATTTTGTAATTGTTCACGAAAACAAAACGCAACCTCTGCCGCAAATCGTTGCGATCTATGTGCAAAATAGCGGTAAACTTCAGTAAATTCCGATATATGGCAAGATTTAATTTAATGATAGTTGTAAATTTGTAGGTTAAGTTTACTCATGTACTTATTAGTCCGTTAAATTTTTAGGCACGTTTTCGTTTTAAGTTTTAATTGTTAGCAGTATTTTATATAGCACACTTTAAATTGCTAGCTTGTAAAGGGATTCATGTGATGCAAATAAAATATTGCGTTTCACTTTTCCTAGGCTAAGGTGTAGTATTTGCTGAAATTATTTGTGCCGGCAAACTAATTTATTGGTAAATAATCCGACGCAAACAAATTATATATGCAGTTGTGGGTAACACAAACACGCGTGTTTGAAGTTTAAACGGTACCTAACTCAACAGTGCAAAATTATATCAATTTGACAATGATAATGTAATTATGTAGGTATTTCCTTTACGCTTTGTGAGTAATTAATATGTATCGATGTAATAATCTCCAAAACTGTATATAAAAGTAACTAGATTGTTTTGCTAGGCACATGCCCCGAATTTATACGATTTAGCACTAAAGGAGAGGCAATTAAATAATTTTTAATTCCACAATATATTGTTTTATTTGTTTTGCGATTTATGTAGGCGTAAGTATTAAATAACGGACAAAAGTATTAATCATACTACAAACGCTAAAATAAATCACTCTTAAATCAAATTCGTTGACCATTTTTTAATGTCGAATGTTTTCAAAATTGTTTCCCAGCAAGTTCATTTCAATTATTTGTTCAGTTAGACAACCAAAATAGTGTTGTGTCAATCGTTCATTTTACAAGGACCGAATCAATCAGTGACCGATTTCGAAAAGGACCGAATCATTTCAATCAATCGTTCATTTCAATACTTTTTGTTACCAACATAAGCAGCAATAATCACTGAATCCGAACAGTAAGAACGACAGATTCAGATTCATTTGATTTTATTGTTGTGCATATAAGTTCTGTTTGATGTTTTAGTTAGTATAATATTTACCTGTGTTCTGCTTTTTATTGCATCATGATTTTATCAAAATAGGTGCTACGTATTGAGTTGTACCAGTAATACATTAATTCGTTTAAATTAACTACATGTGTGGACACATGAGCAAATCTACCAATCGATGTCACAACTCAATACTATAGAATAATTATAACAATACTCCCATTCCTTTTCCGTGGCTTGTCTCAGTCATGCATTTAAATCTTAATCCATTCAAATCAATTGTATTCCGCAAGGCGAATTCGATTTGTTTTAGTACGGTCGGTCGTTCGTTCGTTCGTCCTGTATTCGGTCACTTCAGACCGGTCAAGGCGGCAGCGAGAGCGAACACGGTGATCGAATCGCTACGAACAAACGGGATTCGGTCGTTCGATCCTATGAAGTGATTGAATCAAAGTGACCAATCAATCGCGATTGACGCAATTCTAAACCAAAATAACATTAAAGGCGGGTTGACGCGGGTGGTAAAGCCATATGACTACTAGACCCCTGCCTGAGCTAATAATACAGGAACTAGTGACGTGAAGCAACTATGTAACAAAATTTTGAGGTCTGTGATTTGAAATTTCGTTTTTAAACAATGGCAGCTCTAATTGCAAATTCTGATGTTCGACTCATAAGGCGTTGCGGCTTCCAACAACCAACATCGCCGCTGGCAGGTCATTGTTTAGATGTTGCATTTTTACGGCAGTATTTTCTCAAAATATGTCGAAATCCTATTAAATTTTCAGGCAAAAAGAAACTAAGGTGTGAAAAGCGTTCTTAAAAAAATAGCGACAATAGTGCAGGGTTAATATTATGCTGAATTACAGTACACGGATGTAATATAATTCTGAAAGTAGTTCGGCGTTTTGATTCTTTAAGCTCTATAGAGAGGATACCAGCTATTTTATTTTTATAAATTTATTGGTTTAACCACCATTGAAAATGTAAATAAAATCGAATTCACGAAATGTGACTCTAAAAGTGTAAATAAAACTTTGAGGTACTAGATATCGCAGTTGAAACATCTAAGTGGAAAAAAATGTCCAACAAGCACCTCATATAGACAGAAAGTAGTAATTGTAGAAAGTTCCGCCTCCCAAATATATACTTATGAAACGTACCAATGGACAGTTTCGTTAAAAAACGTAGGTAATGGAAAATGTAACCAATAAAATTAAAAACTAGTAAAAAAATAAGTCAATAAACAATTAGCCCTAAATGTAACAGAATTAACATTACCAAACTCTAAAAAGTGTAGTTTATTGCCTCAAAATTAAAAAAAGTCTAGCAAAAATTGCATGGCGGTTACCGCAAAAAATTCAAAAATACATGTAGAAATTGCATTGTGTGTAACGAACTTTAGATACTAGTATCAATTCACAGAATAATTTAGCAATATTTTATTGCAATCTGGATTCAAATGTAGATAACTAAAAATTACATTTCCAGAAACGCTCAGGATTTTTTAAAAGTGTAAGCTGACATGAAACATTCTAAAAGGAAGATGTCCTATTAAGAAATATTTTTTTCCAGAGGCACACTCAATACTGATTTTGTAGACAAGATTGTGGTTTACGCCACAACTACGACTTACCTTTAATTATAATAGCATTTTATATAGTGTTTTATTAACTCGTTTTGGTTAGTATAAATAAAAACATGAATTATTTAATAAGACCTTTATTTAAAAGAATAAAATATATTGTTGTTCATAAATACATTAAGAAATTACATAAAAATAAATGCTGCATGTTTGTAATAGCATAATAATATTTATTTTTTATTTTTCAAGGAACTTTTATATTACATGATTTGAGAGGACCACCACCTTTAAAAATTTCAAAACAGAATATGAAACCACTAAAAAAATTTTCATTTATAATACAATAAAATATTAGTAATTATTATTAGAATAACTACAGCACAAATTTCATTAACTGTAAATTCTAAACAAAATTTAAATCAGAAGCACTTGTTGACAATATGTTACTGTGCCTTAAGTTCTTTTTAAAATCTGATGACCCCTGGTTATTCTGTACCAAGCTTCTCTATAACTTATAATGTTGTTTTGACTACCACTGAAGATTAAAGATCTGCTGGTTTCTGCTCTAGTTCTACCTAGGAATGAAATTATTATATTGACTTGTAAATAAAACCTAAAAACGCCCCCTATCAACAAAAATTTCTCTTATGTTCAAGAAGGAAAAAATTCAGTCACAACATAACCGCAACGTAACATATTACCAACAAAATATTTTTGAAGAATGTGGAATTATTATATTATATATATTATTATTATAAATTTTATCAGTCTGGTTAGAAAAAAAAGGTACCATTTGGCACTTTAAATAATCATAATATCTACCTAAAAGACCCTGCACTGGCTACTTTATCAAGACTTTACCACCTCTTCTATAGCTTAAAGGAGTGATCTGACCCCCAGATATGGATGATCTTTTAAAGCTATTAGCCTCCCTGGAAGGTCGTTGACAAGCAATGTTATCCATTGTTTCGTTACAATTTCATCTTTTCGTAAACTAACAAATAAAATGTAAATTGAATGACAGTACCTGAATAAGAGATTATTATATCAAAACTAAAAAACAGACATATGCGCAAGTCTGCAAAAAAAATGGGATAGAGAACATGGATTAGTCCCATAACTTGTACTAAATAGTTACTCACACAAGAGAGGTAGGTGATATATACGAGTCAAGGACTTATTCTCGAGCTAAACAAGGGTTAGGAAAATAGTTGGGGACTAATCAATATCTCTTCCTCCCAAGTTTTGCGAGATGGTAGCAAATGAACGAATGTTCGAATGATCGAAAATTCCGGACGGCTTTCGGGTTCGGGCAGGGGGTGGTTTGTAACAGCAGATCCGCCACCAGCTGAGTCGTGACATATACGTGATCGAGTGACAGAATGTTTAGGTTAGAACCAGCGATTTTTATAGGGATATCAAGTTTGAAACTTATTTAAAATGATTTATCTTACTACGTTAACATTTTATTACTTTTCTTAAACAGAAATTCAGTTAATTGTGGGTAGTAAATTCATAGGGTAATGCAGAACAGGAACATAAGCCCTTAACAAATAGTTATTCACGACAAATTTATGTATTATTCATGCAGAAGGTCTAACGGAACGAGGTAAAATTGATTTAATATTTTATAGTAGATAACAAAAAAGACAATTTTCATGTTTAGTGCAGAAACGTCGTATTTTATAACATTATTCAATTTATCGGATTAAGGGTTAATAAATATATGTATATTCGAGTTATTGCAAAAAGATATCTTAGAAGCACAGAAACAAAATATCAAGCATCTAGAAAAGTTGAAGAGAACTGTGTATTCATCTTAAGGAAGGAACAACATAATCATGAACACTTGAAGGACCAAATACAAGACAGGAATTGCAACTACCAAACTAACCAAAAGAATATATGCAATAGACTCGCGACAAGGTAAAGAAGTTATTAGTAATAAAAATATTTGTATAAATGTGCAGTACATTACACTGTACCACTGAAACTGTATAAGTATTAATAAATTTCAATTATGTTAATGTAATATTAGAAATGCTGAAGGTGCCTTACTTCCTTCAACTCAGTATGTACCTCTAGGCAGTGGCAACAGGTATATGACCTTTTTTGGTAATTTTTGAAGTCTTAAATAAATATATTTGACGTTTATTAAAAAAATTGCTGGCAACTCCTAATAAGGTGTATAAAGGTAGAAGTTACCTTTGTCCTAAAAATAAGAAAATTTATTATACAATTTTACTTGGACAAGGCTCTGTGGATTGTATGTCAAATACAGGGAAATTTGGATGAAACAAAAATATGGCGGACATACTATGTTTTGGGAATAATTAATAAAATGCTTGCATAAAATTTTTGTTTCATTTCAACCATATATAGTTTAACATCATAAAAGAGAACAATCAGTACAAATATTTTCTGCTATACCAATTCAATAACAAAAGATTTGATGGAGCCACTAGGGACATTTCTGGGCCGGTCTGGAGCCGTGAGTTGAGTCCAGAAGCCAGGTCCACGATGTTGTAGATTTAAAGTATTTTTGTATTACCATAAGTACTTTTTATGTGATTCGCATGTGGCTATAGACCCCATCTTATTTGTAAAGTATGCTAGGGGGGTAGAGGCCCATAAATCTGTGTTATCCCAAGGCTCACTTGCAACTGGCTAAAACAAATTGCACAGTGAATTCAGTCAGCTTATAATCAGTTTTATTCCCATCATCAGCTGTAAACTCTACCTATTTTGTTAAAAAATGAATTTTTGTTATAGACATTGTCATTCATAAAAATTTTATAAATTTAATTTGATAATCAACTTTTACCTTAAGGGTGGCTGTAATACATTGGGGGCGATAATGATAATAAAATATTCAAAAGATACTCACGAGTTAATAAAAAATATTCTTTTGAATGCCTGTTGCAGCACCCTTCGATAAAATTAACCTATATTTTTTTGGAAACAATAATTGGCCGCATGCATAAGGATTCATGTGTCCTGTGCAGATTTAGCAACCGGTGTACGTCCTGTATCTTTAAAACAAGCACCGTTTTGCTAATTCATATTCGGATTATACCTACCTAGTATTGACTGTCAAATTGCAAAGTCTGCCATTTGACAGTCTGCTACATCGAGATCCCTCGCAAGATGAGACTCACCGAGACTTTCCGAAACGGGACCGAACGTCGTTCGGGATTTTCAATCATTTGTGGTGTTCCCAGTTTTGCAGATAATATTATTCCTACTCAAGTTGTCCTGAACCCAACAAGCAGATTTATAAAATCGGTATTTATTGATATAACTGGTTCTATTTACTCAGTGTCAAATTGTGTATGTATGTACCGCAGTATTCACTTACCTCTCTAAGGAGGTAGGTGACCTACAAATGAAGTACCCCAAAATTTTGAATAGTTGCTTAGAATTCCTGGTAATTCTCAAAGATTTCCTTTAATGCCTTCAGACTTCCCAAAAATATCTTGCAGATGTATCGTTAAAGTTCTTCCTGTTGCACCTGAACTGATTCTGGTAATTTCCCACTTTCTGTAATTTTTGACCAACCGAAAGGCAAGTCATCACTAAGCGTGATGATGACAAACGAAAACTCTCCCACATTGAGGTTGACAAGAATTTGTAATTATCAAGGAGTATTTCTTGTGATTGTTCTAGTAAAACTTGCAGATAAATTGTATTCTTACATTCCCTGTAATTCTGGTGCACTTAAACATATTACCCAAACAACTTTCCTATGTAACTATTTAAGTGTACCTTGCAGTTTGTTAAATCACTCGGGTTTGTCTGAGATGCTATTAGATCCTCATATTTGCCACACTTGTAATGTCGTGAAGGAGCAAGTATTGAAATCACAAATTATATAAATTTGTGAGTGGGAGTCCTATCGAAACCACTTTGAAACCTATTAAATTAACTTATACATCAGGCAACACTCGCCCGTATATAGGCACATTATTTTCCTTAGAGTCTTGACCACAAACACAACAAATTTTTCAAAAAAACGCGAAAATAGTAAGGAGAAAATCATAACCATCAAAAATGTAACCAACAATGTCACAATTGTCACAGACAGTATTCTTTGGTCATAGAAAATTCTAGCTCGGCGTTGCCAATTATATTCGGATTTGAAAGACTGATTTTGCGTATTATGAAAGTTAGTAATTTTTTACAGAAAAATTACGCAATGTGACAACTCAGTTAGTTGGAGGTGACGCATGCACAAAAGATCCACACCTTCTCTACGAAAATATCATAGCCACGTGCGGCGCATCACTTTTTACCGTAGTAGGGCCACTATATTATCTAATAGCTATATGGGTGAAGCACGAGGCTCACGCGTCAACCTTGGTGGTGTTCCGAGTTATTAGAAAGTTAACTTTGGCTTTGCAAATAACATTTTATTTTTCACATTCGCTGGTCTTTATACAAATTGCCCAGGTGGCGCCATCTAACGGTAGATTAGTACTCTTTTCGGTAAGCGTCTTCTGCCGTCCATTTCTGGTAACTGGAGAACAACGTACGTCGTTTTCTTAGGAGCGAATGGTGACTTCGTCACTAATTTATTTTCTTATTGAATGAGATTAAAGAATAAAATCCGAGGTTTGTAAGTTTGTGAATCAAACATCCTGCTTAGGTCTTGTTTTACACTTACAATTTCCTATTAATTAATTCATGAAGGTGGCTTACGGACATATTGGAGGAGTGTAATGCACCACTTTGATATTGAATATCAGTCAAACAAATCCACCAAAATTTATGAGATCGACAATAATAATCATAGGCACCGGCCTCGAGCTACTAGTAAATAGCATTTTAAAAACTGGCGAAGGTAGAGTAAAGCCAGTATGTTTGGTAAAGAATTTCATAAAAAAATCGTTTTATTTTTTTTAGTAACGTTAGGTATAGGTCTTTGTCATATAGCTATTAAAGATATAGAGACCCTACCCATGAAAATAATAGGGCAACTTAGGAACGATATGCCTGTCTATGCTAATTGTACAGAACTCGTGAAGCAACTGTCACAAAATTTTGAGGTCTGTTAAATATGCGCATGCGCGAGAATTGAAATTTTGTTTTTAACCAATGGCAGTTCTAATTGCATATTCTGACGTTCGACCCATAAGGTCTTGCGACATTCAATAATCAACACGGCCGCTGACAGATCGTCAATAAGTTTGGATGCGGCATTTTAACGGCAGTATTTTCTCAAAATACTGTTTGTTTTGGTTAGTTTAACCTTAAATGTTCTGAGGGAAACGAGTTAAGTGTGTGGAATCGCTATTTAGAAATAAAATGGCGCAAAGTGCGGGTTGTGTTCAAATGTAAAGGCATGCGCGGAAAATCATTACTCTCTTTAGGAAACTATCAATTATCTAATAGCTGTATGATCTGGGCACATGTGTGTGATAATCAAAACCACTTATATAATCACAATGTATTTAATGAACAACAATAGTCTTATTGGTCACCTAAATTGATTCGTTTTCTCTGGCTTTCTTTTATTGCCGGCTTTAACCTCTTTGCAGACTTTTTTTTTTGAACATCAATTTTATCTTCTCTCTCAACAGTTTCTCGCAACTTTGCTAAAGACTCTTTATATTGTTCTGCCAAAGAAGTTAATTCATCCTCTGGCATTGTTAACTACAAAATGTACATATGTAGACTGGCTGCTAATAAATATATTATTTATTTTATGATTTATTAGATTTGAACTGCACATATTTTTTGAATCAGTAGTAAGCTTGTTAATAAAATTAACACATATGTTACAAATGAGTTATTTTCTATGCTAAGAAAAATTATGTAGCTGAATAGAATAGTATGTGAAATACGTAACATAACAACAGCAATTTTGAACAAAATTAAAAATAATTGAAAATAACGATACACAATTGAGCAAAACTGAAAAAAAAGTTTTAAAGGTCTGTTTTATGCAGAGAGAATAATCTATACTTATATATTCCAAAAATTGAAACAAAAAGGGTTACAAATATTACCTGCTCTATACTAGTTTTTCCAGCTTCTCTCAAGAGTCCTTTGAACTTTGACAGCTGAGAGCCGTGCAAAATGATAATGACTAGTCCGGGCGCGCCGGCTCTGGCAGTTCTTCCAGCTCTATGAATGTAAGTTTTTAAGTATTTGGGTGCAGAGTAAGAAATCACACACTGTACGTCCGGCAGATCAATTCCTCTTGCAAGAGCATCCGTACATATAAGACTAAAACAGTTAAATTATTATGGTTATACTGTTAAATATGGTTATTTTTTTACACTATGAAAAATTATTTTGGGAAAAAATTAAACTTTACTGATTGTTACGTCAAATTGTTTAAATAAAACTCTAATTTATTATTTATGATGCCCAAATGTAATTTAAATTCAAAATAAAAGGTTATTATTGATGTTTATTTCTAAACTCTATTTTTTTTATTATTACTAAGCACTAAATTACCCCGAAGCTGACATTTATTTTTCCTTCAGCTAGCTTACTAGACCACTAATTAATTCTTGGAGACTAACTAATTTTATTAACTATATATGCATTTAAGTAGTAAAATGTGGAAAACCATTTATAAAATAAATAAAACATCAGACAGAAATGCAGTAAGATTATATATCATGGAAGTTCTGTTCTACTGTCCACGGCACGGCAGCTGACTCGTAATAAATTGTCTGTTAAAGAATAATATTAGAAAACATAATTAAAAAGTCTATGAAAGCACTACCAATGCAAAATTTAATACAGCTCTTCTAGGGTGTTAACTGGGGTGCGGTAAACCAGACTTTTAAGATGCCTCCATAAGAAAAAGTCCAAACTATTTAAACCTGGGGACCTAGGGGAAGCAACTGCAAGCGTTGCTTCCTCGTTAAATTTTCCAAACCAGAAATAGAATTTAAAACTGCTTTGTCAATGAATTTCTGGAGTTCTTACAGTTTGATGGGCCCCTTTTAAATGATTATTTGCCCTCGAAGTAACAGATTCAGTCAACCTTCTATGTAGATTTGAAAATGTTCGCGTATTTGGTATGACACTATTGATATAATCGCCTAGCTTCCGGCGCACTGCTATCAGCCAAACCATACATAAAATGCATATCTGCCAAAAACTCATTAGGAAACTTAACTATTCTATTTTAAAATAATAATGCTAGGATATTTTAAACACCAAATTAATAAGACGTGAAGACCTGAATTTAAAAACTGATGTGAAACAACTGTCAAACAACCGCCTTTGACAGCAGAATTAGTAATTTTTACAAACCCAGCCTACTACAATGAAAAGAAATAATTACAAAGGTTTTAGAAATACACCTCAGAGTTTACGTACATTGTATTTGTAGTTCGATTTTTTGAAGTATTTTAATAAAACAGATAGACAATTACTTAAGTAAGAATTAGTAATAATGTTAATTCGTTATCATTATGACCATGCAGAGAACAGGTTTTTATTTTTTTAGGAGAAAACAGTATATCAGAAATTATCAGAAAAAATCGAGAAATTATATTTCTTTAGAAATGATTGATAATAAAATAGACAGGTGAAATTCCGTACGCCCACCGCTGGTGTGTTTTAAAAAAATTGTAGTACAATGCCTCTTGATACATAGTACACATGTGCCAAATTTCATTAAAATATCGAAAGTGGTATTACAGATATCAAAAAAAATATTTTAGTTTTGTAAACCTTACCAGCCTGTATCTCAAATGTTATGACATTTAGGGCATATGTTCATATTTCATATAGTTTTCTTTTTAGAATGTACCTAAAAATCACCCCCTTAATACTGACATTCAATTAGAGAATGTTGTCCTTACTAGGACGGTTGGTATGCACATAAGAAAATTTAAAGTAATTATGATATTTTCCAAAAAACCAAAAACTATATGTTTGGTAACTCATCCATATCATTGGTAATGTGATTAATTAATTAATTTTGGGTTGGACATGTACAGGTTTTTAAAACCTTGGTGTCAAATAGATCTTGTAATATTGCAACTTATGCTTATGCACTGAAAATGATTTATGATTTTTAACATTGTTACCTAACACAATTAAACTTAAAATAACAAAAATTAACTAAAGACATATTTAGCAAATACCACACTAATTGAAATTTTTTTTTGGTATAGATGAAGTGTGAAAAGTTCCATTATATAATAAAATTCAGTTTTATTCAAGCTAAAATCTTGTCAATTTTAACTTACAGATCGATTTTTCCATCGGAAAAATTCTGAATCAGCTCCTCCCTACTCTTGGGCTGCAACTGTGAAGATATTTCTTTTATTAGCAGTTCGTCTTTGAACAGTGCCTTAAGTAAGATAGTCAGTCTGTGTGTGCACTCTATCGAATGTGTAAATATTAAAGTTTTCTTCAAGTTTTCCCCTCTTATCAATTTATACAAGACTAGCGGTTTCAAATTGACCGACGTTTCTATGTATTTCTCTGTCAATTCCCTTGGCGTGGCATACTTTCCTGCGAAACTTTCAGAGTTGACTTCCGCTGAGGAACTTACATCTGAATTTTCACAAACAGACGTAAAGAGTATGGGTTGGAAAAGTGACAGCTGCTTGAGTTTTTCAGGATCTTGCGATAACGTCGCCGAAAAAAGCAGCTTTTGTGGTGGTTTGCGACATTTTAGGGTTAACTGGTTTAATATTCTGCTTGGTCCTAAAATAAAATTCAAATGCTATAGGACAAAGCATTAAGCTTTCAGGAAAAATTGTGACTCAAAACAATTATAGGTTTTTGCAACAAGGTGGTAATAATTTTTAAAGTTAAAACTTGCAGCTCTATGTCATTTACATATGTAAAAAGACCACTTTTTAAAAACATAAATTGAATAAACTTACTATTAAATCAGTTACCAAAAGGGATGACTCTGGCGTTGCATTTGATATGAATTTAAAGTTCAATAGAAATCTTGGATTCTTAATTAGAATTGCAAGAAAATTCAAATCAGAAGAAAATCTAAAAATTTTTACAGACTCACATAAAAAGTATGGGTTGGAAAAGTGACAGTTGCTTAAGTTAACTTCGCTGTATCTCTTTCTAATGGAGTAATTTATGGCTTATTGTAAGCAATAGTAGTTAGATTTTAAGTTTTTAAGTTAATTTTAAGGTAATTGGACCTTGTTATTGGGTCTTGGGCCTGTAAGTTGAACTAATATATAAATAAAATTGTCGGTTCATCTTTATTTGAGATTGTAACTTCCATATTATTATGGAAAATTTTCGTATAAACGACGCAAAAACGTACCCATATGTGGAATATGATTTTCTAAATGGTGCAGCCAGTCATTTTGCATACTGTCAAGGACCCTGTCAGCTTCATCGATCACCAAAAACTCTAGAAATTGCAAATCAAAACCTTCTGTATCCTTGAGATGGCTGACTAATCTTCCAGCAGTGCACACAAGTATGTCAACCTTGCTTACGTAACCAAAGGCGTCATCTAATGTATATACAAAATTATTTTAGAATTTATAAATGCTGAGAAAAAGCTGGGTCTAATACACAAACAACTAATATTTCAAAATGTTTCAAGAAAAAAGAACAAAATTGATTTTTAAGGGGAATTTAATTTAATGCTCAACAAGATCTCTTAATATTTTTTTGTGAAAATTATTCCTCATTGAACTTGAATAAAAAATGGAATATTTGTTTCTTTTCGTTTTTCACACATTTTTTTTGTTTTATTATGGAAAATTATTTATTTACAATATAATATTATATTTGTTAAAATAGACAATGCAGTTTTCATTTTAACAATAAAAAGTGAAAAATACTAGAGTGGGACTAAATGTAAGGGCTTTGTTCTTAGTTTAGGTAACAGGTTAATGAAATTTTCACTTCAAAATAATAATTATATTATTTTACTATTAAAAATAATTGATTTAATAGAATGCTTTCACATCCATTTAAAATGAGTGTTTTAATCGGATCCTTACTTTTTGTCACCAAATTTTTCTGCTCCACTTGAAATGAGTTCTGTGCTACGGAGAGCAAAATGTCGAGTGTGGTACCTTTGGAATATATTTTAAAGGATTTAAATACCTGCCTAGCCAAATCTTGAGTAGGCAAAATAACCAATGCTCTAAGTCTCTTAAAAGAGTACTCCTTAAGTAACTGTATTATGGGTAAAACAAATGACAAAGTTTTACCACTTCCGGTTGGGGCAGAAACACACAAGTCTCTTGGGAACATAATGCAATTATTACTCTGCAATAACCAGGGAATCACCTGAGCTTGGACTGGGAACATGTTAACTAACCCATTTGCCTTCAATAATTTTCGTAGGTGTTTGTCCAGTACCTTCAGATCAGAAATTTTAGTTTTTAGATTTTTAAGATCTGCTGATATTAAAGTAGGATGCGAAATCCATTGCGGTAACACCCATTTCACCTAAAAAAGAAGTTCATATTCAAATGCAGAAAAAATGAACATGGTTCATGTTAATTTACCTTTTCTTTCTTGTTAAAATTTTCAACTCCCAATATTCTAAAATCGTCATTTAATGGTTCCTTATGTCCAAATTTAATAATTTTTTCAACATCTTGGCTAGGAGGAAGATCATTCTCAATGGTTAAACTAACATCAGTGAATTCATCCACACCAGAATTTTCTGGAACATTAACAATTTTTGCCAATTTTTCTCTTTTAATTTGGCGTAAGCGCGCGGTCCTCTCAAATGCCTTAATTTTACTTTTTTCCTTCTGTTTCTTGCGGTTTCTCTGGTTGTATTCAATTTTTCCTAAGAATTTGGCTAGATTGCTTTGTTCCTGTTCCTGTTTGGAATCTGTTAAGTGATCTTCTCCGTGTCTGAAATAAAATTTTCCACATTTATATATTATGTTGTATTAATTTTAAATTACCTGTGTATAACAAATAAATCCATTTTACATATTTTTTTGTGTAAGTTTTGGGTTACCTTCTTCTTATTCTTCATATAATTCTATAGATAATATCTTGTGAAATAACTGTTCGAATTCTGGCCGAATGATCCTAGCAATCTTGCCCAAAAGAAATAAAAATGAATAAGAACTGTTAGAATTTAATATGGAGCTGAGATCATTAGAGCAAGTTTTGCAAGGAAAGGAGTGTTGCATCAGGGTTTTCGGTGGTCTGTGATGTTCATATTCTATGGTCTTGAGAGGTTAGAATGTGGGACTCTCGGCCGACCGGGAGATTGGACAACATGGAAAAGAAGATTTGAAAGGTATTTAGCGGTAACTGGGCTTAACACCAAGCCAGACAAAGATAAAATCGACATATTGATTTATATCATGGGGCCAGAAAGCGAAAATATTATTTTGCAGTTCCCAAATACAGCAAATACATTTCAAGAAACACTGGTTGGGTTCGATCATTACTTTTTTCCTAAGAAAAATGTAGTTTTTGAAAGGGCTCGTTTCAACAGGAGAAGGCAGCAGCCCGGGGAACCAGTGGAATCTTTCATTACAGATTTGCATGTTTTATCGGAACACTGTGAATTTGTTTGTACTTGTGGCTCTACGACCATGAAAAACGATTTTATAAGAGATCGAATTGTTGACGGTATTCTAGATCAGAATCTCAGCGACAGATTGCAGCTAAAATCAAATTTAAAGTTAGAAGACGCAATTTTGGAGGCCAAGCAGGCGGAAATGCTTTCATGGCAAAGTAACATTCTAAGGAATGGCGAAGGCATGGGGAAAGAGGTCTGCGCCTTGGACAAGAGAAAATATCGAAGCAGCAAAGGCAGCAGCGGAAAGACAGCCGGATGGGCACAAAACAAAGAAGTGGCAGGATCTGATTTCTGTGGCAAGGAATCACACTCACGGGAAAAATGTCCAGCTCGGAAGGCAACTTGTTCACATTCTAAGAAGATTGGACATTGGGCAAAGGTTTGCAAAAACAAAAGCGTCAGGGCAGTGGAGAAAGAATCTGAGGAATCAAATTCCGAAGAAGAAAACAACAACAAAGATGGATTTATAGGATTAATGGTAGGATCTAATCAAAATTCAGACTCAATGTCACAATGGTTTTGTAGGCTAGAAATTGAAGGGTTTTCAAATAAAATTAAGTTTTTGGTAGACTCGGAAGCCGATGTGACTTGCATGCCAGTAAATCTTATTCCAGAAAATCTTTTAAAAAAATTAAAAGCTCCGGAGGATGTCATATCGGGTCCAGATGGTCGACCTTTACATGTAATCGGTACCTTAAAGTTTTTAAATCACATATCGAGACAAAAAATCTCAACTTCAAGTATATGTTTTAAAAAATTTATAAACTCCTATTTTAGGCAGATCAGGAATAGTCGATCTAGAGATCTTAAAATTCACAGGGCAAGTGAGTCTTCAAGAGATATTACCAGATGAGAAAACAAAAGTAGATGTAATCTCTGAATTTCCTAACTTGTTTAACGGTCTGGGGGAATTCAAGGGAGAAATTGAAATTCAAATTAAGGAGGGAGCAAAACCGTTTGTTCAGGCAGCTCCTAGGGTAGTACCTTTACCACTTTTACCTAAATTAGAATCCGAACTTAAACGACTTCAGTCTTTGGGCATAATTGTACCAGTTGACGAACCAACTGCATGGGTTTCGCCCATTGTTGTAGTTCCCAAAGGGAAGGGGGTTCGCTTGTGTTGCGATTATAGAAGACTAAATGAGAGCGTTTTGAGATCACATTTTCCAATCGATAAAGTCGAGACTACTTTAGCTAAATTGGCGGGATCACGCTATTTTTCTAAATTAGATGCAAATAATGGGTTTTATCAAATCAAAATTAAAAGAGAGTGCCAAGTTTTAACAACTTTTATTACACCTTTTGGCAAATTCAAATATACTCGTTTACCTTTTGGAATTAGTTGCGCTCCTGAATACTTTAGCTTGAAATTTAACAAAATTTTAGCGGGAATAAAAGGCCTTGTTCAGCATATCGATGATATTTTGATTTATGCGAGTACAATGGCAGAACACGATAAGATGTTGAGGCAGATCTTGACAAAGCTTGCTAGCGAGGGAGTTACGTTGAATAAAAATAAATGTTTCTTTGGGGTTTCAAGAATCAATTTTTTGGGTCACTGGATTTCTGAGAAAGGAATAGAAATTGAACATTCTAGAGTGGAAGCTATTTCAAAATTTCCTGAACCAACTTGCAAACGTGAATTACAACAATGGCTGGGGATGGTCAATTTCGCAGGTAGACTCATTGCAAATAAATCGGAAATTTTAGCTCCTTTAAATGAATTGCTAAAAAATAACATAATCTTCACTTGGAAATCAATGCAAAAAGAGGTTTTTCAGAAAATAATATCTCTACTGAAACAGGCACCTTGTTTAGCTTTTTACGATCCAAATAAAAAGATAATAGTCAGTTCAGATTCAAGTTCATATGGCTTAGGTGCAGCACTTTTTCAGGCTGACGACTCGGGAAATAAAGAAATTGTGGCATATGCATCCAGAACTCTTACGCAGAGTGAGGAACGCTATGCGCAAATTGAAAAAGAATGCTTGGGATTAACTTGGGCATGTGAGAAATTTAGGGAGTATATTTTGGGACTTCCAAAAATATATTTAGAAACAGACCACAAACCGTTAATTCAGATTTTGTCTACAAAAAATTTAGACGATCTAACCCCCCCGATTACAGCGTTTCAGAATTGGATTAATGCGTTATCTATGTTATCTATACACCGGGTAAAGATTTGACTGTGCCTGATGCGTTAAGTCGCAATCCTCTGAAGTATACCGAACCAGATGTTTCTATCATAATAAAAAATTTACCAATTAAAGACACATTTTTAAAACTTATCGCGGAGGAACAAAGGAAAGATCCAGTTTGTAAAAAATTGATCGAGTACTACTCTACGAGTTGGCCTGAAAAACATCAAACTTTCACCCGATTTGACTTTTTATTATCAATTTAGAAATGACATTTCCATGAATGAAAATTTCTTACTCAAGGGTACGCGTATAATCATTCCACCCACACTGCAAAAACAAGTTTTGGATTTTATTCATTTAGGCCATCAGGGCATAACGAAATGCAGAGAGAGAGAGAGCAAAAATGAGTGTTTGGTGGGTAGGCCTTTCTACACAAATCGAAATTTTAGTAAAAAATTGTCCAAATCGCATTGAAGAGAGAATTAATATTAAAGAACCGTTTCAAAAAGATACAAATGTCACGACTCGACCCTGGCAAAAAATTTGTGTTGATCTGTATAAATGTCACGAAGTTTGGTATTTAATAATAACAGATTATTATTCTTGCTTTTTTGAAATTAGTACTCTTGGACAAAATATGACTTCACGAATAATAATTGGCAAAATGAAAGAGGTTTTTGCTCGCTATGGGTTTGCTGAAGAGGTGCGAAGTGACAATGGTCCTCAATTTTCGGACGAATTTATAGAGTTTGCCAATAAATATAATTTTAAACATATCACTTCGAGCCCTCGGTACCCACAATCCAATGGAAAAGTCGAGTCTACTGTCAAAATTGCAAAAAATCTCATTAAGAAAAATAAAAATTCTTTTTTAGAAGCCTTGCTTTCATACAGAAATGGTTTTACACCGGGAGAACTTTTAATGTCAAGAAAGTTGCGCTCAACTTTACCGATGTTGCCAAGCAAATATGAAAAATTAATTGACACCCGATCATCCATTGAATTGGGGGAGGAAAGAAAGAGAAAAGAAAAGGAAAATTATGATAAGAGACATAGAGTTAAGGAATTATCTGAACTCATTCCTGGTGATGGTGTCTGGATTACGGATCTAAAAAAATATGGGAAAATAATTAAAAAATTGGATGAACCGAGATCTTATTTGATCCAAACAGATCAAGACGAACTAACCAAAACTTTAATAAAAAACCGGTCCAGGTACCAATGCCAGAAACATCTAAAAGTGATGCGGAAGTTTGTGTTTCATCACAGCCCGAAAATGAATCTAGTACGGTGTCGGAAAGTAAAACAGAACAAAGTGCGTCCATAGAACAGTCCGTAGCAAATAGACGTTCATTGCGCCAACAGAAAAAGCCCGCATGGCTAAAAGACTTTGTAATGTAATGTTATTTTATTTAAAAGGGCAAAGATGTTGCATCAGGGTTTTCGGTGGTCTGTGATGTTCATATTCTATGGTCTTGAGAGGTTAGAATGTAAATAAAGGACTTTTAGTGGAGTTCTCTTTTATTACAAAAAGCCTCCAACACGACAAGGAGTAACCGTTAAAGTTGTTCCTATTTCTTAAAACTTCAATTGAATAAAAAAAGGTAATGTTTCAAATGGCATTTAAAACAGAATATCAGGATCTATAGTTAAAACATTTTTGTAGGAAAGGTGGATTAAAGCAAAGCAAAGCAAATTAGGACATGGATCCACTAACAGTTGAAGGTTTGCACCAATCTGAATCATGTCTGTCAACCCAGGAAAGTGTAACAGAACCTGAAGTTTCCAATGCACCGCAGCAAATAGGCACAAAGAGAATAATTTCTACAAAATATTGTTTTAAGTGTTTTTCATATCTTTCTGTGTCGCCTATTATGGTTAATTCAAAGAGACAAAGTATTTGTGGACGTTGCAACATTCAAGAATCCAAATTTCAAGCTTATTCTCTGTTCAACATACTTGGTCCATATTTTGTGTTTAAATGTGTCAATCATTTTGAAGGATGTAACAAGTTACTGGAATTTAATGCCATAACAAATCATGAAGAACACTGCACCTTTAAAGATGAACCATACAGCAGTGAATGTGTCTTTTGCTCCTTTAGTGGCAGGTGGTCTCAAATTATTAATCATTCTAAGAAACATCACTCAAAATTTCTTATATGTGATGGAATATTTGATATCTTGATTGCCCAAGATGGGTTTAAACAGAAACTGGTTTATGTTAAAGAAAACTCAGTTTTCCTGTTCAATATTGAAATTAACAATGAAAAATTTTCCCTTGACATTGTGTGTCTTGCAAAAAATGATAACATTGGAGAAGAATTTCAAATATTCTTTCATTTACCTCATTGTGAATCTGGGAAAATCTTCGTGGGTGATGGCACATTAAATGGCATGCTCAAGGGATATTTTAAATTGCATTCCTACGAGTTAAAACAATATCTTCAATTTGAGAGTGGAATTGCAAAATGTGAAATTGTTTTTATGAATAAATCTGCAGAAAATGACTGCAGAATTGGGAGGTTGAGTGACAGAGTCAAACAAAAAGAACTCGCAATAAATAAATTAAGACTGGATATTGACATCCTTACGGCTGATGCACACAACTCAAAAAAATCTTTGAATTTATTAGAGAGCTTAATCAAAAGACTTTCCTTTACACTTTTTTTGTGCAATAACTGCCAGGGCTTAATTAAGGATGTACTATGTTTATGCTCCCTCAATCATAGTTGCTGCCTCAAGTGTTCCAAAGATCAGTGTAAATCATGTGCAGTGCGACATCCTTGGACAAAAATTAGAAACTTGGACGACATTTCCTTACAATGTGATTGGCCTCAATGCTCAATGCAAATAAAAATTGTTGATTATAGGAAGCATCAGCTTAGTTGTTCTTTTAGACCTTATAAGTGTCCGACATTAAACTGCACCCATATTTTGCATTCGAGCGAGCAACTTATTGACCATTGGCTTTCTCATGAGTATCCGTTATTATTTGTTGAGGATTTTGTGCTGCTTGAAAGTTACAACACTTTTGAGTTTTATTGGTTGGTATCACAAGAGCTTTATTTTGTTAATCTGATTTTCACAGGAAATTGTATTGATATTTTAATACAAGAAGTAAATGTGTTACATTCACTAAATTTAAAGTGCCTTGGTTTTTGTACCAATTGCCGCCAATGGGGCCAACTTATTTTTAGAAATTTATTTGGTTTGCTGCGAATTGATTCACAAAATTATTGCAATTGCACGGGCCGAAAGATACCATATTCGAAGTTAAAATTGTATATCTAGAAGCTAAAGATGTTTTTATAAAATTTTGAATAAGTACATATTTTTAATACTGTGGTTTTGTAGCTTTTAGATAACAGGCAATCTTCCATAATTTTTTATTTAATATTTGTTAATATAAATTAATACATGAATTAAAGTGTAGTTTTTTATTTTTTATAAAATATGTGTCTTTGTCCCTTCTCCATGCGACTTATTCTTTTAGGGCTTCGGGCGGATTGTTGTCTTGTGGCGGAAAGGTGAATTGAAAAGCAACCAACAAGTATGTAACGAAAGTGGCAACAATCTAAAAAGAAATAATTTTAACTGGTTACAAAGCATTTCTGTGTGTATATATATATATATATATATATATATATATATATATATATATATATATATATATATATATATATATATATATATATATATATATATATATATATATATATATTCTCACGTATTGATTCACGGATGGAAAAATGTGATGACACTATACCCCGGGATATCATCCGTTCGCTCGTTGAACTCCGACTGGAATCCTGCATCCGACTGGAATCCTGCAAATCCTGCATCCGACTGGAATCCTGCAGACGTTTCGCCAAAATCTCACTTGGCATCTTCAATGCTCGCGCTCCGAAAACACTTCGAACACTGTGTTCGAACACAGTGTTCGAACACAGTGTTCGAAGTGTTTTCGGAGCGCGAGCATTGAAGATGCCAAGTGAGATTTTGGCGAAACGTCTGCAGGATTCCAGTCGGAGTTCAACGAGCGAACGGATGATATCCCGGAATATAGTGTCATCATATATATATATATATATATATATATATATATATATATATATATATATATATATATATATATATATATATATATATATATATATATATATATATATATATATATATATATATATATATATATATATATATATATATATATATATATATATATATATATATATATATATATACTCTGGAGCCAAGCAAGGGTTGGGAAAATAGTCGGAGTCGTGCATATAATATTTTTCCTACTCAAGTTGTTCCGAATCGAACAAGCAGTACTGTGTACGTACTGCAATATTCACTTACCTCATTAAGGAGGTAGGTGACCTACAAATGAAGTACCGAAAAATTTGGAATAGTTGCCAAGATTTATATATGCGTCCGTGCGTGACTGAATTTGAAAAAATCCTCGGCGGACGTCGCCAATGGGCGAATGCCTAGAGTAGACTTGAAAACTTAAAAAACAAAGAACAAGAAGGAAACTGAGCTTGGGAATTTTCATTTAGTTTTAGTGTTTTATGGAACCACGTGAATAGTTATTAGAAAATTAGGAACCGTAAATATGCAAAATTGATGTACCTCATACGGCTATGACATTTTCGTACAGAAGGGAATAATTTTTACTCGTTCCCGAAAAGTTAATGCAAAAGGGGCGAATTTTGGATACTAACTCGTTCATGCGCAAATCAAATGTGCTTTTTCGATATTTTTTATGTTAGTTTTAAAAGTGCGTGTATTATCAGGATAGGCGAGTCTAGTGTAAAACGCTAACCGTGTGCTACATAAGCAGTAGCGAAGTGTAAAAAATATCATCAAAAAAACATCGAATTCAAAACCGACATGGTGCAGCAAACAAAGAAAATAGCGAATAAATCTAAGTTAAATTGACAGCTGTCAAAATGTGACATTATTCGGACACCTAAGACGGGTAAGATAGCGTTGTATGATATGTCTCAATGACCTTTATCTTATCCCCGTCATAATGGATTTTCCGCTTTTTGGAAAGAGCTCTGGCCCACAAGTACAATTTTTTTTATCACACTTAGTAATGTTAGGTCTTAATTATTTTAAATAGGCCACGATTTATTTAACATTGACCCGACAAGTCCAATATAAAATGAAAAAGAAAATCGCGGCGGAAATAATTTACAATGTAATATTAGTTTATTAGTTTATTAGTTATTAGTTACATACTTGCAAAATGAAGTCCATTTACATCAAGAAATTTTTGGCAATTGGTGTAATGCTAGCAAGTGTATTTCCAGAGGAAGAAGTCCAAGAGCGAAAGGTCAGAGAATCTAGGTCAAAATATTGAACCATTTATTGCAAGAATTCTTTCGTCAAACTGCTCGCTGAAGAAGTTTCTGACTTGAATAGTGTTTGGACCGGACATCTATCCTGTTAAAACCAGGTTCTTCTATGCTCATCTTCGGTTAGAGTAGGTGTCACAATTTGGTTTCGTACCAGCTCTAAATACATTTAGATTGTAGTCAAACAAAAATGAAGCTATAAGTCGACTTCCTGAAATGTATAATTATACAGTTATATAATTTATAAAAGGTGTACAATAAGTAAGTGAAATTACCGAGATCCTACACCAAATGTTAATTCCAAATCTAGTCTGTAGACGCATCTGCCGTTTCATTAGGGTTTTCGACAGTATCCTAGTACGACCCTCGATTCGCACTGCGAGCTGCTGGCGGCTTCTTTTTGCTGGGACGTACTTAACTTTCGCGTTACACTTCCTAAATCTGTTTCCTTAACTCCTTGGTTTTGTATAGATGCTACTTATTCTTATTCAACACTCTCTGTACCGTTTCTTTTGAAACACCAATTTCCCGTTCTACAGTTCTTACCAATACACTAGTGTTTTTATGTTTTCGTTGATAGCTTTTAAAATGTTTCTGTCGTGATTTTCATTTTCAGCGTGTGCGAATCTAGGTTGTTCGAAGGCCCTATGTTAAAATAAATTGAATTTTATGAGGCTGCCGTCATTCAAGATGCATTTCCAAATATGCCGACGTAATGATGGTGTTTCTGTGTGACAAACAACTTTGATACTTTGAATTATTTAACGTCAAATTCAGAAAATTCCTTACAGGTAAAAAAGATGACAAATAAATCATGACCAACTAACAAAATAATTAGCTAACCAAACCTAACTTTACGAAGTGAGACACAATCCATATAGCTACTAGACCATATAGAGGCTGTGCCTATGCTAATAGCACAAGAACTAGTGAAGCAACTATGTAAAAAAAATGTAGTTCTGTTCAATGTGCGCATGCGCGAAATTTGATATTTCGTTTTTAACTAATTGCAACTCTAATTGCGAATTCTGACGTTCGACTACACAGCTATAAGAAAATATAGTGGTTCTACTACAGTGAAAAGTGATGCGTCGCAGGTGGCTATGATATTTCCGTAGAAAAGGTGTGGATCTTTTGCGCATGCGTCACTCCCCCCCCCCCCCAACTAACTGAGTTTCCATATTGCCGTAATTTTTCTGAAAAAATTGACTAATTTTTATAAGAATGCAAAATCAGTCTTTCAAATCTGAAGATAATTGGCAACGCCGAGCAGGTAATTGCTATTGTCCGTACATTTTTCGTGTTTTTGTGAAAAACTTGTTATGTTTCTGATCAAAACTGCAAGTTAAGTTAAAAGATTTACAAAGAATGCCACTCACAAACTTATATAATTTGTGCTTTTAATACTTGCTCCTTCACAAAATTACAAGTGTGGCAAATATGAGGACCTAATAGACAAACCCGAGTGATTTAACAAACTGCAAGGTACACTTAAATAGCTACATAGGGAAGATGTTCGGGTAATATATTTTAGTGTACAAGAATTACAGGAAATATAAGAAAACAATTAAGATCCAAGTTTTACTAGAACAATAACAATAAATACCTCTTGACATTTACAAATCCTTGTAAAACTCAAGTTTTCGTGTGTCATCATTCTTAGTGAAAAATAAATTGCCTTTTGGTTGGTCAAAAATTACAGAAATTATTACCGCAGAAAGTGGGGAATTCCCACAATCAGTTAAGCTGCAACAGGAAAACCTTAAACAATAAATCAATAAACAGGAAATTTTTGAGAATTATCAGGAATTCTTGGCAACTATTCCAAATTTTTCGGTACTTCATTTGTAGGTCACCTACCTCCTTAATGAGGTAAGTGAATATTGCAGTACGTACACAGTACTGCTTGTTCGATTCGGAACAACTTGAGTAGGAAAAATATTATATGCACGACTCCGACTATTTTCCCAACCCTTGCTTGGCTCCAGAGTATATATATATATATATATATATATATATATATATATATATATATATATATATATACATATATATATATATATATATATATATATGATGACACTATATTCCCTCTGCCCATCCTTCTATTACCGTTCTGCTCCCATGCTAGTAGTCTGCTCTGGCAGATGTGAGTATTTATTTTAACTGCAATTATCTTAATATTAATATAATATATATATATATATATATATATATATATATATATATATATATATATATATATATATATATATATATATATATATATATATATATATATATATATATATATATATATATATATATATATATATATATATTCTCACGTATTGATTCACGGATGGAAAAATGTGATGACACTATATTCCGGGATATCATCCGTTCGCTCGTTGAACTCCGACTGGAATCCTGCAAATCCTGCATCCGACTGGAATCCTGCAGACGTTTCGCCAAAATCTCATTTGGCATCTTCAATATATATATATATATATATATATATATATATATATATATATATATATGTATATATATATATACTCTGGAGCCAAGCAAGGGTTGGGAAAATAGTCGGAGTCGTGCATATAATATTTTTCCTACTCAAGTTGTTCCGAATCGAACAAGCAGTACTGTGTACGTACTGCAATATTCACTTACCTCATTAAGGAGGTAGGTGACCTACAAATGAAGTACCGAAAAATTTGGAATAGTTGCCAAGAATTCCTGATAGCAGTTTGACGAAAGAATTCTTGCAATAAATGGTTCAATATTTTGACCTAGATTCTCTGACCTTTCGCTCTTGGACTTCTTCCTCTGGAAATACACTTGCTAGCATTACACCAATTGCCAAAAATTTCTTGATGTAAATGGACTTCATTTTGCAAGTATGTAACTAATAACTAATAAACTAATAAACTAATATTACATTGTAAATTATTTCCGCCGCGATTTTCTTTTTTATTTTATATTGGACTTGTCGGGTCAATGTTAAATAAATCGTGGCCTATTTAAAATAATTAAGACCTAACATTACTAAGTGTGATAAAAAAAATTGTACTTGTG